ATATTTAATTTTTAATTAGACCCCATTCATGATATTTTCGCACACTCTGCTTACTCCGACTATACACTACTGCTAATCTTAGTTTAATTGCAAACTTTGAATGCCAATATATTTGCAATCCCACGCAGGAATAAAATAGAAATTACTATATGCCCCGGCTTCCCTTTTTTCCCCACTTCGATTTTTAAAATTTATTTTGCTTTCTCTTTATTTCTCCCTTTTCAATTCACCCTTTCCATTCTCTTCTGTTAATGTTTTACCCTCTTCTTCCTTTTTTTCTTCTGTTTTCTTTCTTCCTTCAGTTAACCTTCCTTCTGTTCTTTCTTGTTTCTTTTTCTTTTTTCCTTGGTTTCCCTTCTTTTCCCATCCTACTTTCTTTCTTCTTTTGCTTCTGCTTTCTTTATTCTTCTTTATGCTTTCCCCTTCCTTATTTCTCCTTCCTTTTTCCATCCTTCATCCTCCTCCTCTCCAACTTCCTACTTGCATTTTTCTTTCTCCTTTTTTGCCTTCTCTTTCCTTTATTTCTTTCTTCCGTTCTTTGCTATTTTTTTCATTCGTCTACTTTTTATGTCCTTTTTAATTTTTAATTTTTTTTTTAATTTTTATCCATTTACCTTTATAATATTCTTCTTCTTCTTTGCCTGGTATTCTTTTTTATTTTCTAATTCGCCCTTCTTCATTTTTTATTTTATCTTTTCTACTTTCGGTTTTGTTCTAGCTCTAACTTGCAATCCTTTTTTGTATTTGTAATTGTATTTGTATTAATTCTTTTTTCTTTACTATAAATTTGTATTCTCTTGTTTCTTTACTTTCATCATTTATTCTGTTTTTCTTTACTTTTTTTTTTCTTTCTTTAGTTTCATTTTTTATTTTATTTTTTGTTTTATTTCATTTTTTGCTCTTTTGTCTCTTTTCTTTCACCATTCTTCATATTACTTTTTGACGTGTATTTTTGTGCATCTTTTTGCCGGAATTTAATAATTAAAAAATGTGCAAAATCTTGTTCACGGATTTATATATCCTATCTGTATCTGTGGAGTTAGTATCTGTTTTATGTTGACTACTGAAAACTCGATAAATCATTTGATTAATATCTTCTTGTCTTTCTTTCAGCATTTTAATATCAGCCAAAGATGCTATTGCATAAGATGCCCAAGGCGAAAAGTAAACATCATTCACTGCACATGCACATGTAATTTTTATACAATTAACACGCATAAATGTACAGGTTTAGGTATACATTGCTGTAATGATACATATTTACATGGGCGTCTTTTAAAATGTCAGTTTTTATTCTGTTTTTAACATATTTCAAATTAAAATCAATCAAGTCACGTTTTTCATTTCTTTCCAATATTGATTTATTCAGTTTATCTTATGTACAGTTATAGTATGTACACTACATTACATATCGTACTTCCTCGCATTTATTTAGTTTATCTTATGTACAGTTATAGTATGTACTATTAACACTACATTACATATCGTTCTTCCTCGCATTTATTCAGTTTATCTTATGTACAGTTATAGTATGTACACTACATTACATATCGTACTTCCTCGCATTTCTTGCAATAATTCTTGCAGATTTCATCTTGAAAAATCATAATCATTTTGTTTCCTACCATAAAGTAAATAGTAATTTAGGGCAATGAAAAATTGTTAAAAATGAAAAAAAATCTCATCTATGAGAGAAAGAAATCGACTTCTTTTTACAAAGCAAAATCAAAGGGAAATTGTGAAATTGTATCGATTCTTCGTTTTTTAAAACACTCAAATTTCCTAGTATCGCCTCAAATTTTATCATTACGTATTTTTAATTTTGATCCTTGAATCTGGGATGCTCAATGGTCCCTTGAGGGGTCAGACAAATTGATCAGCGAAGATTGGTGTTAGGACCCCCTCCCGTGAAACACAGGGGCGTACACACACACACATAATTTGGGGGTAAAGCGGGGGGTGGGAGGGTGCTAAAAAATTATCTTAATTGAATCAAAATAATAACATTTTTGGGTCTTGTTTATCATGACTATTTTAAGGGGAAGAAAGAAAGAGTAGCTAAGGTTCTTTTCAAAACCTTGCATTTTAAAATAAAAAAAAAAATGTAAATATACTAATTCCAGTCCCACCCCTTTCTTCCCCTTCCCCCCCCCCCCCTCCCTCCCCGCTGTGATCTCATGTTTATCATTAATTGTTGATCATTCCTGAGCGCGTTCACTACAATGCGCCCGCTGCGCCTGTGCGTGCTTTCTGATCATTTTTATTATCTGTAAGTCTACCGTGCGCCAAGCAGGGGGTTTCTTTTAATGCTTCCGGATTTCTAAATTAAGTGGTTTAAAAATGCTCATCTCAAAATTGTTATCTAATTTATTTAATTTGTGTTCAATTAAACAAGAACTTAAATTTAACATGTATTTTTTTCTCATGATAAATGTAGCCTTTCCCCACTTGATACATGTAGTTTTCCCACGTAATGATACATGTATTTTTCCCACGTGATGCATGTATTTTTTATGCATGATACATGTAGTTTTTCCCATTGTGCATAAATACACTTTAGAACATTAATAGCATCCCCTACCCCCGACGCTTTAATTAGGCCTGGGCTAGTGTTTACTTATTAAGTTTAGTTTGTTAACATGATTAGTTTGAAAACATTATGATTATTTTCGTTTTTTATGTAACTTACGTACCGTAAGTTTTTATAAAATTCTGGTTTGTTAATGGAAACTACCGTTAATTTTTAGTTTTTACAATATTCCGCTTGTAAATGAAAATTCCTGTAATTTTTTTTTTATAAAATTCAGTTTGTTAATTTAAACTTCCGTTATTTTTTTGTTATAAAATTCCATTTGTCAACGGTAGTTTTTATAATATTCCGTTTTTTTTTATAAAATTTACCGTTATTCTTATTTTTTTAATAAAATTTGTAAACGGACTTACCCTCTAATGAAATTTTTTTTTTTAAATTCCAAAAAAATTAGTTTCAGGAAAAAATTGTCCTTTTAAAAAGTTTTTCTTTTAAATTTTCAATTATTAAACAAATTTACAGAAGAGTTCTGTCATATTTGTCTTTTAGTTAACTGAACTAAACCCCCCAGCCCTAGCTACTATATATATATTACCTATATACTGAATTGAATATCCAATCAAGGCAATTGATCTGAAATCCTTGCGTGAAGTGGCCCCATAGCGACGCAAGATTTATGCGTCAGATATCCCACCGATGATGGCCGATTTATACCAACAGAAAAATCGATTTTTAAACCTTATCTGATAGAAGTTTTCAAGACCCCACCCTCACAACATCATCTTTCCGGGCTCTTAAAGGGACTGTGAACGGGTGTTCAATAAATCGTAAGAAATTGTAAACAAACATGATTTTCTCTGAATTCGGACAGTTAAGATGTTCGGAATGAAAATTGAATAACCCAAATTTTAAAGTAAAACTATCTTTACTATAAATTTGTATTCTCTTGNCGTTTAACGATCTTTTAACGATTGTTTAACGATCGTTTTCAAAAACGATTAACAACCCTATCCATACCTTACATGACCCTCTAACTCCCCCCCCCTCTCTTATCCAACATCAAACTTAAGTAATTGTATAAAGATATAGAGTCGCTTGAAACTACGTGAACCAATCCTTTAAGCAAATAAAAAATCAAATAGTATTATGTTGATTATCTCTTTAAACATTTATAGGGACTGTAGTGACCTTTCACTTAAAAAAGGCCATGCTCGATTCCCAACAGTACCTTTGAAACCTTAATCTGTTCAAGATTGAAAAGCTTAAAAATTGTTTAATTCTGTTTGTTTCTGAAGAAAGAATCATCCGCAAGTCACGTTTTTAAAGAAACCAGTAATAAAAATAATTCGTTTTCAAAAACGAAAACTTTTTAATCTTAATCATACTTAATTAGACAAAACTTTAAGGGTACCGTTGTGAATCGGACTTGGCATGCTATCAATAGAGAGTCCATTGAAATTATATTTACAGTCCTTTTAATCTGGTCTCTCCAATCTCCATGCAACCTGTAGTCCCCTGCAACGTTTGATTACAGTGTAAAATGTTTTACAGGTTATAAACATTTCACGACTCTACCCTAATCAATAAATTCAATAAAATCAAGAATGGGAGAATATTTGAAATGTGTAATTAATCTTTGAGGGCAGGTCGACCGTTTTGTTTCAAATTTATCCAAAATTTGTAAATCTGATCAATAGTGTGGAGGATAACGTCGTTTTCTACCAGCTCGAAGTATTTAATTCTGTCAGTTTTTCCGTTGTTTTTAAAACAAAGATCATGCGCAAGTCACTTTTATAGAGAAACCACTATTGAAAAAAAATCAGTTTTAAAAAACAAAAAAATAATTTTTGATCCGACAAGTCTTTCAAAGTTACCAAATTCAATAAAATCGAGTCTGAGAAAATATTTTAAAAGTGTAATTAATCTTTGAAGGCAGGTCACATGTAATTTTGATTTCAAAGGAATTATATCTTTTCCACAAACTCTGCTTTTCTAATCCCTCTATCTATGCAAAGTCTTAGATATTAGATATTTCAAACAATGAATTCTGTTAGATCAAATAAGTTAAGTTTGAAATATTAAAGGTATGCACCATGCATGAGGTTTTAAAGAAGAATGGTTTTTAAATTTTGTGTTTGTAGCAAGACTAAATTTCTTTTGCTAAAAATTTCAAACTGTCAAAAAGTAAAATTGCCGAAAATTAGTCTTTTGTAGGATTCTAGACACCTTCGAACTTTTTAAAATTTGATCGTTAACAGTTAAATAAATAAATTAGAATATATATGAATTTGAATCCTCGAATTTTTATAAGTTCATAAATTTTATAATTTAAAAAGATTTTTACATACGATTCTACGATTGCTAATACCAAATATGCATTGTATTGTAATGATGAAAGTTTACTGCCCAATTGATCGAAGGGTTTTTTAAAGTTATAATATAATTTCTTTTTACATTTGTATAATTTCAGGTCAATCGGCTTACAAGGATACAGTGTTATTGATCAACCAGAGCAGTTTCGAGAACAGTACAGTACATACTCAAACATTGATGGAAATCATAATATCTGTAAGAGGTAAAAATTTCAGAATTTATATTTTTAGAACATTTTGTTCGAAATTTTGAACAGAATGTTAGGGATCACAGTTGTAATATCCCGACATTATTTTGTTAATTTTGAACAAAATTTTAGATATTTTGCAATGTTATCAGTAAGTTCTTTATTACGAACAAAATTTTACAGAATTAACATCATTAAGAATGAATAAAAAGAAAGAAAAAAATTGGAACATCTATTTTTTTCAGGATAAAAGGTCTATCCTCAGGACAAGAGAAGCTATGTACACTGTACACAGATCATATGCTACATGTAGGGAGAGGCGCAAGGTAATGCAGAACACTTTCTTCTATGCATTTTTATGAAAATTTAATGATATATTATTATGTATACAGAGGTGTCCAGAAACATTGGAATAATTGTGGTCACCTTTTTTTAAAACAGTCGCTTAAGATTTCGTCATTTGTAACTGATGTACAGTGAAAAAACTTTAGAATTGTAAGACGACATTATAGAAATATTTATGTGTATTTGTGTATTTAATACAAAGCAAATATTTTTAATAATAGCTTTAAAATCTCTTGTAATGTAAAATGTGCCTGTTTACACTACACATTTTCAGTGTCTCATGTTCTTTGGACTTTCAAAACTCAAACTTTAGTCTTAAAGTCGTCTTTCTATTCCACAGTTTTCTGGTTCTTACGTATTTCTAAACATGTTTAGACATGTATCAGTAAAAAAGCAGTTGCAAATAATAACTTAAATGACAATCATTGCACAGTTTTCTGCTCCCTTCTGTATCTAAATTAAAATTGTAATTGTAATTGTAATTGTAATCCTAAAAGTTTTTTTTTCTCACCAGGTCAGGGATCGGAGAATGCCAATATCAGTTCCGTAATCAAAGATGGAATTGTTCAACGGTAGATGATACAACTGTCTTTGGTCCAGTTCTCTCTATACGTAAGTTGAAAAGTCTCTGTTGATGTGCTTGATAACCTTTGTTGATGTGTTTTGAAAGTCGTTAGAGATGTATTTAATAGTCTTTTGCGATCTGTATTACTAGGCTTTGGCGATGTGTTTTAATAGTCTTTGTTGATGTGATTTAATAGTCATTGTTGATGTGTTTTAATAGTCTTTGGTGATGTGTTTTAATAGTCTTTGGTGATGTGTTTTAATAGTCTTTGATTATGTGTTTTCATAGTCTTTGGAGATGTGTTTTAATAGTGTTGGTGACGCGTTTTAATAGTCTTTTGCGATGTGTTTTAATAGTCTTTGGTGATATGTTTGGATAGTCTTTGGTAATTTTTTAATTTTTAAAGTTAAAATCCAACTTTTCACTTGAACATTGATTTAGTTGCCCAAAGACAAAATTTAATGAATGGCGAGAAGTAGTTGAACTACTTTAATTCTTTAACTTTAACCGGTGTACAATAGTGGTTCAACAACGCATTCTCAGTTAAACTAATGTTGATTATATAATATATCTACTATCTAGTCCTAAATGTAACATTCATGTTTACTTGATTTAATATCCATATAAACCATTACATGTGTGCGTTTAGTTTGCTGAATTCAAAAATTGACCTTATTCCGATACTTTCCGTACATGGAGTACATGGAGTACATGGAGTACATGCATAGCTCGAGTATTATTCTTCCACAATAGTATTAAAATTCTTCATAGTTTTCATTCTCTAACATTTTTTCTTATCTTTTTTACAGTTTATGATGTGTCTTTTTGAATAATTTTTTTAGATTGGTTTATAATTTATATGCTTAACTTTTACTTTTTTGACATTCTTAAAAATATCCATCGCCGCCCCCCCCCCCAGTATGGGAATGGGTGGGGGGGGGCTCCTATAAATAAACAAACTCACCACCGTATAATTAAATGTAAACCAAAACTAATAACTTCTCTGAATGATGTTAATCTTCTAATTGCGTGGTTATACATGAGGGCAGAGATACCATAATCAGAATATAGATGCATAGATAGAAAATAGGTTGGACTATAAAAATGTGAAGTATAAAGACGACATTAAAGTAATCTTATGTGTATTCTATGCTGGTTCTAAGAAAACTCACGAGCTTGAAAACTAACTTTTTATAAAGTGAAATCAAATAGGTTAGTGCAATGCACTGCACAATTGTTCTGTTTCATGTTCATTGGACTATTTGAAATCATAAACTCAATCTAAAGGATAAGCATAGAGAATAGAATATATATTAGAGAGGAATTAAAAGAATCTCTCGTTTTGAATTTTTTCAGTCCCTTTCAGCCTGAAAGGGAGTTCATAGTGTACAAATCATGTGAATGTTCACAAATTATAAGCAGTAGAGTACATTAATACAGCATATTCTCTAGACTATTCATTTCAATTTCGTATTTTTTAAAGCTGTTAAATAAACTTTCTAATGAATTAGGTGAATAAAAACCATCATTTGATTTATAGTTATAACGGAAAATCATCGTTTGTAAAGTGAAAGGCATAGAGTTATGAAATGATCATTGGTCAATTATGAAACCAGCCTATTTCATAATTGGGTTAATTTTTAAGTTCCGACAAAAAAACCTTTACAATCTTTAAAGTTGTCAGTTCATCAATTAGTATTATAATACCATGTTTACAGTGTATTTGAGCAGGACAGGAAGTATAGATTTAAATCTTTGTTGAATTATATAATCTAGTCTTCTCCTTAATCCTTATATTGTACTGGTTTTTCTTTTTTGCGGATCTCATTTCAATGTTTACATTTATTATATAAGTTCATAACTGGAAATGTTTAAACATAAAGTAAGTTTGACTGTTTCATTTGTACGTAGTTAAACAGATAGAAGTTTAGATAGATTTATAGATAGATATAAAAATAGATAGTTAGATAGACAGAGATAGATATAGAGATTGATAGATAGATAGATAGATAGATAAATAGAAATAAATGGATAGATAAATAAATAGACATATATTTTAATGGTCTTTCTTCTAAAAGGGAAGATTGAATTTTTTTTCAGTGATTAGTAATGAAATAACGGGTGGGGGATTTATAGGTAGTAGAGGGTGAGTCAAGTGGGGAGGGGAAATGGGGTGGTGGGGTAATAAAGGATGTTTGTAAACTTTATGGTTTCATCCTGATTAATCTATTACACCTGGTGTACACTGTACAGTTTGTTAAGGGAAAAGTGGAATACAAAAGTAAAGAATGATCCCTCCAAGTGATTTTTAAAGAGAGAGTTTTCGGTCTAATAAAGCAATTATAGATCTTAAATACGTTTTTTAATTTTTTCTATAATAGTATTGCACTCTCAGTTCACTCCCTTTAAATCTCTGAAACGTATTGCCTTAAAAAATGTATATAATATACCAAAACTACATTTAATTGGTGAAACCCAGTTTGTTGTATTTGTGTTCACAATGCATACGCCCAAAGGAGTTAAGCCCATTTTGCGTAGAATTACTAGACATACAGATCCTGTTCTACGCCGCATGCGCTTAACTCCTTTGGAATTCTGCCTTAGGGTTATTGTTTACGAAAAACCCCTAAATCTTGTAAAAACGAAATCTATTGCTACATCTGTGTTGTTATTATTCTATAATGATGGTTTAATTAAAAGACTATAGAATCACGTCAAATAAAAGGAATTTCACTTTGGATTAAATTCTTAAATGATTTCAATGTGATGTGACCGGATAACATTTGCTCACATTTGTGCGTAAAATCAAAACTATAATGTTGTATATATATATATCCTATAACACCTTCTGTTATGTTCAGTGTGGAATATATTTTTCTTGTAATTAATAATTTTTCTGTTTAGCTTCTAAAGAGGCAGCTTTTGCACATGCTGTAGCGAGTGCTGGAGTTGTCCACAGTGTATCAAGAGGATGCAGGTATTATTAATCAATAAAAGGATTAAAATCACGAATTAAAAAATACAACATTCTGAATCTGAGGGATTCTTCACGAATTTTAAAAAGAAGATATTTACAAATTAAAGTCATGTCCCTTGGATCTGCGAATTCTATGTTATCTGAGGGGTTTAAAAAAGAAAATTAAAATCTGTTTTTATTGGCGACTTTATTGGTGCAGTATTTTCCAATTGTATATAAATATTTTATACGCAATATGCAATTGTATATATGCAATTGTATATATATATTTTATACGCAATATACATGTATTATGACAACTAAAAACTTGTTTGAAAAGAAACAGAGCTTTATTTTGATAACACAATAAAGTATTAAACAATTTATTGGCGACTTTATTGGTGCAGTAACGTCCAATTGTATATATATATTTTATACGCAATATGCATGTATTATGACAACTAAAAACTTGTTTAAAAAGAAACAGAGCTTTATTTTGATAACGCGATAAAGTTTTAAACAATTTTTCCGGCTAAAAAGTATTTTCTCTCTAAAATTCAATTTGAGTAAAATATTTTGGCGGCGCAAAATTAATTGCAATTTTTTACAGCAAGAATATATTTGCAGATTGTAAACTCAAAGCTTTATTCAACTTTACGTTCGTTACTAAAGGGCATCAACTAATTGGGTTAATGTCCGTTTTAACGCCCCTAGACCTTTTCAGAGGCGGGGTATAAAACGGGTGTTAATACTCCCTCGAGCCCTTCTGACGCCTTCGTAAAATATTTTCAAATATTCGGACAATTGGTAAATTTGTTAATATTCCCTTTACAGGGAGATTCATTCATTCATTTATCTTTATATTCACCTAAATATTCATTCATCTTTATATTCACCTAAATATTCATTCGTCTTTATATTCACCTGAATATTCATTCGTCTTTATATTTAACTAAATAAACATTCATCTTTATATTTACCTAAATATTCATTCGTCTGTATATTCACCTAAATATTCATTCGTCTTTATATTCACCTAAATATTCATCCATCTTTATATTTACCTAAGTATTCATTCGTCTTTATATTCACTTAGCTATTCATTCATCTTTATATTCACCTAAATATTCATTCATCTTTATATTCACCTAAACATTCATCTATCTTTATATTTACCGAAATATTCATTCGTCTTTATATTCACCTAAATATTCATTCATCTTTATATTCACCTAAACATTCATTCATCTTTATATTCACCTAAATATTCATTCATCTTTATATTCACCTAAATATTCATTCATCATTATATTCACTTATTCTTCCATATTTATTTCTATATATCATTCCTTTAAATCTTACCTTTTTCTTATCAGAATCAGATAAAATCCAAATTTTTGAAGTTTCTTCCCAATTATCCCCTGAAATTAGGCTTTTTGAATGGTCATTTCAACATTTTCATTGTGAGCCAATTTTTGCAATTTTAAAATCTAAATGGATTTCAAGGGTGTATGCAGGATTTGTGATTAAGGTGGGGGAGGGGGAATGTGGGGGGCTTAATTTTTTTTCTTATCTATCTATCTATCTATCTATCTATCTATCTATCTATCTATCAATCAATCTATCTATCTATCTATCTATCTATATATTTATCTATCTATCTATCTATTTATTTATTTATCTATCTATATATATATCTATCTATCCATCTATCTATTAAGGGACGGTCAGCTGGCAAGCTGTGGGTGTGCTAACGCTAACCGGCCCCAGGACCTGAAATCTGAATGGATCTGGGGAGGCTGCGGGGATAATATTCAGTATGGTTACAAGTAAGTAAATCAATGATACAAAAACCGGATAAAATGTTAGATATTTCTAGTATTCTACCTTTCCATATGAGTTATGAGAGATAGCGAACGTTTTTTTTAAAAAACGAATTGTTTTTTTTAATTTTGTTAAATATTTTTTCGAGTATAAGTCTAGAAATGGACTATGGTAATTAGCAAAAAATTTTTTGCTTAAAGTGACTATGCGTAATTTCAAGTGCCCCCCATGCTAAGCTGGGAATGACAGATTCACAAGGTACCCTTTGCAATCTTTATCTGATCGATAATGTCGAAGATATCGTCATTTTTCTAGGTTTAAAAGTATTTAACTTTGAAAATTTCTACATGTTTTCCTTCGGTAGAAATGTGCAACCTCTGTAGAGCTAACCTCTGTAGAGCTAATCTCTGTAGAGCCAACCTCTGTAGAGCTAACCTCTGTAGAGCTAACCTCTGTGTTGTATTAAACCAAAGTATAGAGTTCCTTGTGTATCAAACTAATAAAAAAATGGGGGGGGGGGAGACAAATTTCTAGAAGGTACCAGAATATCAAGGGTTAAATGCTACAACTGTTTCTATATATTTACAAACAAAGTATAATAATTCTCCATTATGTCAATAAATAATAAATAAAGGAGAGAAAATCATGATATATCTATATTTTGCGTAACAATGTTTAAAGACACATTTTTGCTGAAAAAATTCATAAAACGAATACATTGCGAACATTTTTAAGTTTGGTGTTTTTAATCCTGATTACATGTTATTTTGCATCCATAAGAATATTTTATTTTAAAAAGTTCCTTTCAGAATTGAAATTAACTTAAAGGGACTGTCAATGTAAATGCTCAGACTTTGTCAGAATTTCTAAAAACAGATAATCTCCAATCGTGGTTTCTCCATAAAAAATACTTGAGGATTTATGCAGCATAGACAAAAAATACATTTTTGGAATTTAACATTTTTCCAGAGAAAACCGACATCTATATATAAATTTGGCTTGTCTGTCTGTTTGTCTGTCTGTCGGTGTGTTTGTATCCAATAAACGTCAAAACGGCTGAACCGATCGGGCCCAAATTTTTTGTGGGACATCACGTGACCCCAGGGAAGGTTTATGAATGATTGAAATTTTAAATATTTGTCTCCATCAAAATTCGATCGTCATTAAATTTTTGAAAATTTTGAAAATCCGCGAAATTTTTTGTGAAAATCCGAGAAATTTTTTGTGAAAATCCGCGAAATTTTTTGTGAAAATCCGCGAATTATTTTTGTTTTGTTTTACGATGTACACAAACAGAACATGTTCACAGTTAATTTAGAAGATGGACGCGAAGCGCCCTCTAAGGCTAGTTTAGTATATTTAATTTGCGATACCTCGTTGTGAATCTTTAAACACTTGATATTACGTCGAAATTTCCTTTAAATGAATATAACGAAATGAAAATTATACCCTATAAAGCAGAGGTGGTGGTAAATCCAGTTCATTTTTACATTGTTAAACTTTACCACGTGCATTTTTACTCACTCCACAGTGTGTGCTGTAAAATAATGCATCTGTGAAATGATGCAATTTCTTTTTTTTACTACATCTTAAAAGTGTTCTTTTAGAGTGGGTTTGAATATGAAATACGGGGTGTCCCGTATAATATTGGATCGTGAATAGCATTAAACTGTGATTTCCAGGAGTAAGCAAACATTTTAAAAAGAAGGAATGATTTAATAAGTTTGTAAAAGGCTACAATGAAAATTTTCAATCAGAAAATGAAAGATTATATGAGTTTTTTGTGCTCATTTTGGCTTTAATGTTTGGAGGCAGTCTAGTATTTTTAGTTAAAGTTAAAATTTTTAAAAATTTTTTTTAATGTTTTGGTGAGTTTTCAAGCTCTAACTCATTCAATTTTAATTTTTTTAAAAGCGCTTTTCAGATTTGAACATTTCCAAAAAAAGGTTGTATAACATGAAATTAAAAAAAATATTTTTTTTCGGGGCCTTACGGTGATATCAAATCGCCAATTCTCAACCGTATGGACGATTTTGAATTTTTTTGATTGCAATATTTTTATTACGTGAAACCGCAGCAACCTCTGGTGGGCGGTTAGCTGATTTCTAAAAAAAGTCACAAATCAATCACCCTTACTCTGTATATCTTTCAGTTGCAAGGAATATATACTTATATACCAGAAACCATAACTGTAATTGCATTAAAATGTTACTAAGAGGAATCAGAGATGAGCCGTAACAAATATAAACAAACGACCTGGGGCCAAACGACAAAGGAACAAACAACTTAGAGTTAAAGACAAACGGCCAAAAACGTGACCTAGGGTAAAACGATCTACTGTAAAACGACAAACGAAAGTGTTACAATCGAGAATAATTCAGAAACCACAGACATAAACAGATCGTCGTTTGACCCTAGGTCGCATAGTTGGGTATTAGGGGGGGGGGGGTCAGTCAAATAAGTGTATTCCATAACCTCTTATTTATGTCAAATAAGGCATTTTTACCGAAAACCCGCTATTTCATTGAAACTCTTAAAATAGGATTTTTCAACACAAAAACTCTGACTATATCAAGGTTTTGGCGTGCTGCTGGCGCCCCAAAATATTTTCTATATGCCTGTTAGAAAATACTTATATATTTAGATTATCACGAAACTGCTGTGCTTTCTTGTGCTTTTGCTGTAAAATATATGTTGTTTTTTTTAAAGCTCGATTTGACAAATACGACATCTGAATATATTGCGGATTTACAGGATCCATTCGAGGATAAATATGTGGACGGGAAAAGTAATTATAAATTGAAATCATTAAAAAACAATGCAAGCTACAATTCATACAATGTTTGTAAATGAAAATATTATCAGAATATATTCGTTTTGTCAATTCTCACCATGACAAGACAAATGCATTTAAAGAGGAGTATTGTGGCAAACCCCCCCCCCCCCCATTACCCCCTAAAATACCCCATCGTAGGTAGTTTTTCCATAGATAAAGATAGATTGCGCATAAGACGACATTTTTCATCTTGAAAGATATAAATGTACAGAGATGTTTTAAAGATATTCCTATTATATAGATTAACTAGGTCGGTTGTGAACATTGGCTGTTCTTATGTCATTGAGTACTTGTGGTGTACATGAGTTCTGTAGAGAGAAATTTAAGTTCTCATGTCCTTCTTCAGTTCTCGTCAATATGATATATTGCTCAGTGAAATAAAATTCACTCCTGAGTGGTTTAATGATTATGAAATCCATTTATAAAACACCAAACCACCCCGCTTATCATTGAAGTACACTTTGACCCCTAGAAGTATGAGTTCGTGGACTGTACAATTCTTGGTGATTTTGCGTACATAAGCTATCTATGTTTATTTATTTATCTATGAGTTTTTCTCGTGATATCTTGTGTTAAATATGGATCTGTACTCCCCCGCCCAACTAAAGTAAATAGTACAGTACAGTATGTGGGATTGAAATTTTATATTTTTCTTCATAACTCCTTTTATTAAAAGCTTTTAGAACTAAAATGTTAAAAATTTCAATTACGCAGGTATTTTATCATACTTTTGCGTCAAATCAAAACCAGAAAAGCTATAAGGTTACAAGGCCGCAGCAGTGCTGTTGCATAAATTTGACCTCCTTCTTACTACAGTGATAACCAGAAAACTCCGAAATAGGAAGACGACTTTATAGCAATACTTCAGTGTAATTGTTGTTATTACAAAGCAAATAGTTTTACTACATTAATAACTAGAAAACTCTGGAATAGGGAGACAACTTTTAGACTCAATTTATGATTTTAAATAATGCAATGAACATGAGACAACACAATTGTGCGGTGTAAAAAGGCCAAAATGACATGACAACTGCTTTTTTTATTTTACTAGAACACTATTTGCTTCGTAATCGCATCGAATATGATTAATTATTGCTTTAATGCTGACAATTGCCGTGTCCCATGCTGATTGGACTATTTAATGTCATATTTAGAGTCTAAAAGTCGTCTTCCTATTTCAGAGTTTTCTGGTTATCACTGTTGCTTAGTGTACCTCCCCCCCTGGAGTAAACCGTACTTTTTCTGGATTTTAGAATTTTTTCCTTCCCGGATTTTTATATTCCCTATTGATCTGTTTACAGGGTTCTAGAATGCTTTTATGCTTCTCTTTACAAGAGAATCTTCACTCTTTAGTGGGATGTAAACCGGAGTTTCAGATTTTAGACCCGCAATAAATTCTTCTCTTCAAAATTTAAATAAATTATTTCAGTAATAAGAGTTTTCCCTGTCTATATAAAAGGACACTATATTAGAGCACCATCGACAGGGTATCTTCATGAAACTGAACTTTTGGCTGGGATACCGCTTTAGCCTAAGCTACTGAACTTAATTTACAGTGGACAAATTTCTAGATTAAGGTTTTACTCCATAAATTGTAGAGATTGATCGAACATGGGAAAGGTAGCCGGCTGTTGTAATCACAGATTAAGACACAAAAGTTTTACCCAAGGAATATATAGACCAGGAACCGCCATATCTCATGCGTTAAATCTGTGTACTCAGTGGGAGGAGATCAAAACAAAGAATTCAGGGGCAACGCATCATTTTTGAGTGAAAAGGGTCCAAGGGGTGGAATAAAAATATATTGCTATTGTATTTTCCATATTGACCAGAAAGCCAAAAATCATATATATTAACTTGTTTTTTGTTGGACTGTAATATCACATCAGAGCTTTAGTTTTGTTTACATTCCTCCCACAGTGTACAGTACATAATATGCGTATATCTGAGTTGGGCGTTCCTGTATATAGTTCCTTGGTTTTACCCTCCGTTGTCACAAAAAGAATTTTCACATTTTATATAATTAAAAAATATGTTTAATAAATATTTAATATAGATGATAAAATATATATTAAAATAAATGTTTAGGTTTGCGCAGAACTTTATTGATATTCGTGAGCGGGAAAGTAACGAGATTCCAGGTAATTCCAGATTTAAAATCCAAATTCTTATATTGCTGATTTGGAAACTTGTCATTTGCAATTTGGAAAGAATATTTGAAATTTATCAGAAAACAATGCTGTTAGAAAAACAAATGTTTAAAATAAAAAAAATTAAAAACATAAGGCTCTTCTTGCATTATGTCAGAAAAAATAGGCAATAAACGACTCAAAAACGATATAATTGAAGGAACATTGTGTATAATCAACCAATTTTTTCATAACAAGTATTTTTAATTCAGGAACTATCAACCATGGCAGGCAACTAATGAATCTTCATAATAACGAGGCTGGAAGAAGGGTAGGTTACAAGGGAGGATTTTTTTGGCAACATGGAATATTTAAAAGTATTTATTTTTTAAACCACATTGTACAGATATGTGTATGTTTAATTTTTGGTAGACAACACATTATTTGTGTAAAATGGAGGTAGGTAAAAGTTCAAGTTAGAATTCTTTGAAGTAATTTACTTTTCCCTTTCTTTCATCTTTGTTTTATGAAAACATTTACTAATTTAAACCCCCTTCATCTTTATTTTATTAAAACTCAATATTCCCCTGGGTTTCTTTCATTCAACCCCCCACCCTCCGGCGGTCCTTGAAACATATTTCTCCATGTTATACAACAAAGCAGAACTAATTCAACTCTTTTCTCCGTAATCGAGTTGAGATTTATAGATATTAAATATCCCCCATCCCCCTCCCTCTTCCAACCCTCTTCTTCTATCCGTCCTGATATCCTTTCCCTCTTCTTCTATCCGCCAGTTTATCCTTTCCCCGTTCTTATATCCGTCCTGTTATCCTTTCCCCCTTCTTATATCCGCCCTGTTATCCTTTCCGCCTTCTTCTATCCGTCCTGCTTTCATTTTTCCCTTCTTCTATTCTTCCTGCTTTCATTTTCCCCTTCTTCTATCCGTCCTGATATCCTTTCCCTCTTCTTCTATCCGTCCTGCTATCCTTTCCTTCTTCTTCTATCCGTCCTGATATCCTTTCCCTCTTCTTCTATCCGTCCTGCTATCCTTTCCCTCTTCTTCTATCCGTCCTGCTATCCTTTCCCTCTTCTTCTATCCGTCCTGCTATCCTTTCCCTCTTCTTCTATCCGTCCTGCTATCCTTTCCCTCTTCTTCTATCCGTCCTGCTATCCTTTCCCTCTTCTTCTATCCGTCCTGCTATCCTTTCCCTCTTCTTCTATCCGTCCTGCTATCCTTTCCCTCTTCTTCTATCCGTCCTGCTATCCTTTCCCTCTTCTTCTATCCGTCCTGCTATCCTTTCCCTCTTCTTCTATCCGTCCTGCTATCCTTTCCCTCTTCTTCTATCCGTCCTGCTATCCTTTCCCTCTTCTTCTATCCGTCCTGCTATCCTTTCCCTCTTCTTCTATCCGTCCTGCTATCCTTTCCCTCTTCTTCTATCCGTCCTGCTATCCTTTCCCTCTTCTTCTATCCGTCCTGCTATCCTTTCCCTCTTCTTCTATCCGTCCTGCTATCCTTTCCCTCTTCTTCTATCCGTCCTGCTATCCTTTCCCTCTTCTTCTATCCGTCCTGCTATCCTTTCCCTCTTCTTCTATCCGTCCTGATATCCTTTCCTTCTTCTTCTATCCGTCCTGCTATCCTTTCCCTCTTCTTCTATCCGTCCTGCTATCCTTTCCGCCCTTCTCTCTGCTCTTTTTTCTGCGCCTCGTACTGTTCCTCATTCTCTCCATCTTCTTTTAACCACCATTTCATCCACCGTTTTCTATACGTCTCCAAAAATCAGCCCCTTTACTCCATCTGCGCAACCCTCTCCTCTTCAATCCAACCCCACTACCCCTGTTCTTCTCTCCTCCCCCTTCTTTTTTCCTCTTCAATCCAACCCCACTACCCCTGTTCTTCTCTTCTCCCCCTTCTTTTTTCCTCTAAATCCAACCCCACTACCCCTGTTCTTCTCTCCTCCCCCTTCTTTTTTCCTCTAAATCCAACCCTTTCCATCCCCCTTTTTACTCCCCCTTCCTCCCTTTCTACTCCCTTCCCTCTAATCCCCCCTCTACAATAATCCTCTTTTAGATTTATTGAAAATAAAAAAATATGGCTTCTCTAATCTCTACATCTCTCTATACTAGAACATTGCAATCGGAATGTAGAATTAAAACATAAAGATAGAAATATGAAAATCATCCATTAATCGTAAACAGCCTCGACTCAAATTAATTTTCATTCATCAACCAACTGATTACAGTTTTGCATTTAGTTATTTTTATGAACGGTGAATTTTTAACTTTTTAGATTACGGATTCAAAACAAAATTCTGAAATCCTGCAGAGGCACATCTTTTGCAAAGTATAAACACATTTTAGAGTGAAAATATTTAAAATTACACAATCACACCTTTCTTAGACTTTATTGTGAAAGACCATCAATTTATAGAGTGACATGTCGATTCACAACTGCGCTCTTTAAACCGTTGACTGGTCGAGAATGTGCGCGCAAGACAATATCCTTACATGTTTGCCAAAAAATTCATTATTTTAAATGCTTCTGAGATATATTCCTTATTTTTATTTAGAAAGAGGGTTGTTGTTGTGAATCGGATATGCCTTTTTCACTTTTTTTTTAACGGAGGGTCACTTGAAATTACGTCTACAGTCCCTTAAAGAGTTTAAAAACAAACCAATTTATAGGCAATCAATCTATCTCGCATTAAATCTAGCTTTATTTAGGCTGTTATCTCTAACATGAAAGTGACCTGCAAGTGCCACGGAGTAAGTGGGTCCTGTTCACTTATTACTTGCTGGCAACAACTTGCACCGTTCAGGGTTGTAGGTAAGTCAATCAAAAACCATTCAATTCAATTACTTATTGGATTAATCTCGTTGTATAAGTAGAGGGTAGGTAGGTAGGTAGGTAGGTACACATTATTTTCCTAGAAGGACGCAGGATTAATTTTATCTATATTCCTGTTTCTCCGTCTCCGTGTGTACAACTTGCTACCTACCTAAATGTTGGCCTAGCACTTTAAAGGAATTGGAGTTGTTTAGTGGGCAGGTATGTAAGAAAGCAAGGTCTTGATGCTAAGAGGTAGATAGGATGATAAGTAGTTATGTAGACTACCTAATCGATATTTGAAGTATTTATAACATATTTGTATTTAAATCAGGGGATTATCTGAGAGAAAAGTACTCTGATGCTGCCAAGGTTAAACCGACAAGGAAAGGTCGTCTTCGTCTTCACAAGAGCAACGCCAAGGAAACCATATTGGATAAGAATTTATTTATCATATTTAAAGGGACTGTTATTGTTAATCTAAGTTAACCTCCATTAACCTTTTACAACAATATTCTTAAAATCTAAGTTTTAGAAATTATGGTGGAAAATTCTAGATTAGGCCAAAAATGTGGAGATATCCTTGTTTCTCTATAATATAAGTAAATTGGCAGAAATTATCTTCCTCATAGTTTTATGTCTCGCTTAGATTACGTGACCATCAAAAAAAGTTTTTTTGTCTAGAAATAAAATTTACTTTTTTCAATATGGTTGTTGCTCTTAGGTTCCAACAGCCAATGATCTGATCTTCATCAAACCATCTCCGGACTACTGTCATAGAAACCATACGATTGGATCCTTAGGTAATTAGAACACAAGGGTATAATATTATGTACAGGGATAAAATGTTCTGCTACAGGAACACAATGTTCTGCTACAGGGATATAATTTTCTGCTACAAGTATATAATGTTCTGCTACAGGTTTATAATGTTCTGCTACAGGAATATAATGTTCTGCTACAGGTATATAATGTTCTTCTACATGTATATAATGTTCTGCTACAGGTATATTATGTTCTGCTACACGTATATTAAGTTCTGCTAGAGGTATATAATGTTCCATTACAGGTATAATGTTCTGCTACAGGTATATAATGTTCTGCTACAGGTATATCATGTTTTGCTGGAGGTATATAATTTTCTATTATAGGAATATAATGTTCTACTACAGGTATATAATGTTCCATTACAGTTATAATGTTCTTCTACAGGTATATAATGTTCTGCTACAGGTATATCATGTTCTGCTGGAGGTATATAATTTTCTATTGCAGGAATATGATGTTCTACTACAGGTATATAATGTTCTGCTACAGGTATATCATGTTCTGCTGGAGGTATATAATTTTCTATTATAGGAATATAATGTTCTACTACAGGTATATAATATTCTGCTACAGGGATATAATGTTCTACTACAGGTATGAAATATTCTACTACAGGTATATAATGTTCTGCTACAGGCATATAATGATCTGCTACAGGTATATAATGTTCTACTACAGGTATATAATATTCTGCTACAGGGATATAATATTTTTTTACCGATGCAGCTATTGTTCTTCATGGGCTTACCCATTAAACTGCAAAACTAAACAAAAATTCCAACTAATTCTTTTAAAGGCATAAATCCAGGCGACCTTCCATCTGAATAGTTGCATGTCCGATGCACAACGGTTCCCTTAAAGGCTTTGTCTTATCAAGTTTGAATTAGTTTTTCATGTTTTTCTTCTATTATTTTGATTATTTTGATTGTAATATTTCTTAAAGTGTCACTTCGGCATTTCTATTATTAGAAGCAATAGGAGAAATTATTACATTTAAGCACTATCCAAGCTTTGAAAACGAGTATATCTTCCACATTATTGATTAGTTAAAGGTTTCAAGGGTAACGTTCACTGTGACTATGCCAGGCTACGTTTGTTGCATAAAACGTGCTGGTCAACTCTGCACTGGGTAGCCTGACTGGACATTACGAAGGACTTCAAATACTGTACGTGTTGTACCAACACTGATCATGCAACTTTTAGAATGGGGTGCGTTGTGAATCGGGCATTACCATTTTTGCATGAAGGGTCACCTGTTATTATTACGTTTAATTACAGTCTATTTAAGTACAAAAATTATGGAATAGAATATTTATATTACTGGTTAGTTTCCTTAAGTCTTTTCTTCTATATGATAAAGCTCTTAGCTCAAATATATATATTTGTATACTAGCTGAAGTGCCCGGCGTTGCCCGTGGGAAATAAATTGATTTTCGAAGAAAAAAATCAAATTTAAAATTTGTTAGCTATAGCTGGCCAAACAGCTGGACCTAATGGGCTGACATTTTTTGAGTACTTCAGGGGTAACAAAGGCTAAAAAAAATTTTCTTTAAAATACTATTTACAAAATTCTACGGGCAACGCCGGGCACTTCAGCTAGAAATACAAAACATATTTCTATAAAACTTGATTAAAAATCAAATTAAAAAACTTTATAAAAACTAATGTTTAGGTACGACTGGGCGTGTCTGTAATGCCGAGAGTGCGGGTGTGGATGGATGTAAAACAATGTGCTGCAACCGAGGATACACCACTGTTAAAACAAGGTATACCTATTTTAGGTTTTTTTTTGGTATTTTCAAAGAAATTATTCTCTAAAATTACAATTTTATTATTATTGTTCAGTTCATTTTTTTTTCATTAAAATATCTCCAAAATTAGTTGTTCTTTGCCTATTATTGATTTTTAAATCGGAGAATATTATTTTCAACCACCAATTTTACAACATTGTTTCACTGCTTCTCATTAAATTTTTTTCTCAAAATTTACCCAAAATTTTTATTTTTATTTTCCTGGATAATCAGTACAATTATAATTTTTTGGAGAAAAAGTAATTTTTTTATGAAAAAATATATATTTATGTTTGGTTTTAGAGTGAAGGAGCGATGTAAGTGTAAGTTCCACTGGTGTTGTTATGTAGAGTGCCAGACCTGTACAAAACCTGTAGTACTAACTGTATGTAAATAAATCTTATTGTACAATAAGTACATGTTTCTTTTAATGTCTATAGGTTTATAGAAAGAGTGGAAAAAATGTCAAGTTGTTTAATTTCGTTTAAAGCGTTTCCCGCAATATATTGGTTGCAAAGTCATGAAATCTAATTTTGAGCAATGTTGCGTTTTAATAAACTAGCTGAAGGGCCCGGCGTTGCCCATGGAAAAATAAAATAAAAAAATAAAAAAATTCTCGCTTTTTCGCTTATAACACTCCCCGGCCACCCATGAGTGTCCGCAAAAAATGTCAGCCCAATCGCTCCAGCCGTTTGCCCGGCTATACGAAACATATATATGAATGTCTTGTTTTATTATATAGATTTGTTGAAATAATTCAATCTGACTCCGAATTGATTAAAAGTAAGGACACATTTTGTCGGAACCCACAATTTTATCTCTTTTGTTTGAGAGTTGTAATATTTTCCTGGTATTTTTCAAAGAGTCTCCTTTCAGTTGACATTCAATTCTTATTGAAATGTGATTTTCTACTTTTACGTACATTATTTAATAAAAAATAGAAAAACTTAAAATTTTGTTGTCACATACCATACCATTCCATAACACATACCATGTGTCTTTGACAAAAATATATTCTTTTCCTCTAACTTTTGAATCAAAATTTATTTAATTTTCAAGAATCTGAAGATATTTAGTAAAATATTTTCGTTTAAATTTACAGTATATCTTCACAGATTTTAAACATATTAAATTTCGTTGAAATTTTAATTGTCAAACTCTTGGAAAAGCTCTTGTTGAATTTTAGATAAAATAAAATAAAATAGAATGTTCTTAAATATAAAAATGAAGTTTTAGTATGAAAAACGACTAGCTTTTTGTTCCTGGCCGTTTGTTGGGTCGATTGTTTTCAATAAAAAACTTCAAAACAGCTGAACCAATTGGCTAATAATGTATTTGGGTCTGTCACAAATTCAAATTTTATAATCCCTTTATCTTTTCAACCTGTTAATCTTTGACATTTCAAACTTAGATTATTTGATCTAATCATCTAACAGAATTCATAGTTTAAAATTTCTAAGGTCTACGACATTGAGTCGCAAAGATTAGAAAATCTGAGTTTGCACCAAAGACTCAATTCCATTGGAAGGATTTTACCATTAGTCCCACGCATAGTAATCGGATAGTACTAGAAAACGCCCACAAAAATTGTTTATTTCTTCTAAATTTGATCGATAAAAAAAGAAAATTTCCAAATTTTATTTGATGTGTAAAAACTAAAAAATTAGGCTATAAAAATAATAAATCTAAATTCCAAATACTTAGTTACAGAAATATTTATTTTTTACATTTGTTCGGTAACAGTCCCATTTTCTCCTGATAAAGGGTAAAATTATAAAATGTTTTGAATTTAAGAATCAGAAACATATTTTCAGATTAACCAGAGCTCTTTTAAGATTAAACTATATTCAGGGCCCATGCAGCACAACATGCTGCGTCTAAACTGATTCCGCTTGTTCAGGGGCCGTTAAACCATATTTATACTAAACTTGGTCTGGTTGTTCAGAGCACTTCTAGAAAACCATCATGTTACTCATCTCTGGGTCTGCTTGTTTAGGGCCCAATAAACCATAATGTTACTAAACTGGGTCAGCTTGTTAAAGGCTCAATAAACCATAATGTTACTAAACTGAGTAAGCTTGTTCAGGGCCCAATAAACCAAAATGTTACTAAACTTGGTCTGCTTGTTCAGAGCACAGCAAACCATCCTGTTATTAAACTGGGTCTGCTTGTTCGGGTCCAGTAAACCATGTCCTGTTACTAAACTGGGTCTGCTTGTTCTGGTCCAGTAAACCATGTCCTGTTATTAAACTGGGTCTGCTCGCTAATATGTTCTTTTCCTAAATGTAAAAAGAATAACCACCTTAACGAAGATAGTTTTTACACTTTTGACTCGATACAACCAGCCTGAAATCGTACCGTACAAGTCATTCGCTTGTTAAATGGACCCAAAACGACCCTGTCAGCCTTTAACCGTACTGTACATGGCGTTCATATGATATTTTGACCCGACCTGACCAGTTACCATATTAGTGAGTAAATCGATGTGATATTATACACCCCTGATCTGGCTAAACATTTACGAGTTTTCTGAATATTATTAAGATCAAATATTCAAGTTTTTTACTTGTTGGAGTTGACATTTTCCTTTCAGTTTCCAGTTTCTAAACCGGGAACCGTGATTTATTTATTTTTTAAAAGCTTAGTGCGGTTTAGAATTGTGTAGGTTTAGTCACATTTAAATCCTTTTAATGTATTTAAATCTGAGTTTTAGCGAAAATAACCTACAGAGGCAAATTCTATTCTTTATCTTTTTATCCAACAATATGGTATTTCATAAAACATTAGCTAAAGAGCCAGGCGTTGCCCGTGGAATTAAAAAAATCCAATAAAAAAATCGATTTTGAATCAAAAAAAATTTGAAAGCCTATGTTACCTGGCCCCAGGCCCCAAGGAACCAGTGGGTTCCCTCAAAAAATGTCAGCCATTTGGATATATTTAGAATCTTTGTATAGCTTTCATTGCGGACAACTGAAACAATCTAAAATCGTCATATTTTCAACTGTATGATATCTATCCAACAATGTGGAAGATGTTTTTGTTTTTCTAGGTTTGAAAGTGTTTAATTCTGATAAATCCTATATGTTTTCCTGAAGTAGAATAGTGTAAGTCACTTTTGTAGAGAAACCATAATTGAAATTAAGCAGTTTTTAAAATTATAAACATTAATATCTTATTCAAAATTTTAAGGTTACCGTAGTGAATCGGGCATTGCAGTCTTTGCATGGAAGGCCACTTGAAATTACGCGTACAGTCCCTTTAATATGCATAAATCGTCAATACTTAATATGTTTAAAGATGCCTGAAACAATCCTGAATTCATCTCATGTATTTTAAACTTGTTTCATCAGCCAGGCAGTATTCAGGCAAAAACACCATTAGAGACTATAGGTTGCTTACCAGGCATAATATTTACATATTTTTATTTGCTACAGGAGTGCCAAATTAGGGGAAGGTATCGATATGTTACAAGAGAAGTAGTTAATTAGTTTAGGTGCACAATCGTGTATGACCTGAACACGGGCTTCCGTAGTACATTTGAATTTCCGAGCCGGGTCAACCTTTCCGGTCCCAGTTTGTAAGACGACTGTACGGAGTTTGTTTAGTCTTTTATCACAGATTCAGTGTTCCCCGCAGGATAAACCATCTAACTAATAAATTGAAGGCAGAAAATCAAAATCAAAGTTCAAATCGTCATATTCTTGAGCTTTGGGTCGTCATTACAGTTGCATCCTTTAAGGGTTACTCTGTTTCTGCACTCCCTAATATGTTACAGAAGACCTTTGATATTTCAAACTATAAATTATGCTTTAACAAACAGTCAAAGTTAGAAATATAAAGGCTTTAACAAACCGTCAGGTTACAAAGATGGTGGGAATAAGAATATTGGCTTTTGAGCGAGCAATGAGATATTTTATATTGTGCATGAATCTTTGTACAAATATATAATCTGTTAATCGAAATATAATATTTCTGTTGTTTTGTCGCAAAAATTTCATCAAAATTTCGCAAAATATTTTTCCAAAGCTAAAGTTAGAAATAAGTGGTTTTCTGTATTAGAATATTATTTTACACGGCTACACAAATCTATAGTCCGGTCTGAAGAGCTGATGCACGATATTCGTTTCTTTTCCTTGATTTCAACAAGTCTTCAAATTGTATTATAATAAATTTTAAACATCCTTTTGCGACATGAAAATCAATTTTAACAATAAGTAAGCTCATTTTAACTCCATAGTAAAATTAACAAGGCAAAACTGCTCGCTACAAGTATATAGGGCAGTTTATAATACTCATTTAACCCCTCCCCATTCCTGGTCATTTAAAAGAGGTAAGAAAAAATATCACAGTACAGGGAACAGCAGAAAACAGTGGTATTCGTGCCGTCTTCTATTTTCTTTAAAGATTATGAAAGTTTTTGTAATGAAAAAGTTGCAATACTCACAAATTAAACAATTTTAGTGGCATTTTATAGTAAAAGGGAGAACAAAGACGACATTCAGTCCAAGGATTTTTCGCTTCTCATGCGTTGTCTCACCTCAAAAAAATCTGTTACGTCATTTCAGTTTTAAATTCAGAAATAAAATCGGGAAAATAAATCAAAGTGGGATCAGTTTATATTAGGCGTACAGTCCCTTTAAGGAATCAACTTTAAAATCCTATAAATGAAAACTTAAAAAATTACTAGAATTAAAACCTCTGAAGAATTAAAAAGAATGATCTATTTATTGACTTATCAATTTAATTTAGGTCTCCAACGAAATGTGTTTGGGTCAACGTTAAGAACTGCTTTGAAAATGACTGTAAATGTAATTTCAAACAAGTACGAATAAAAGATATCAATGTTTATAATTTGGAAAACTGATTAATTTCAATTGTGGTTTCTTTACAAATACATCTTGGGCATTTCAACTGCTGGACAACATATAAGAACTATTAGAATTAAACACTTTTAAACCTAGGATTATTATTTATTAGATTAAGTATTCAATGGGCACTGTTTTAAATCCGGCATTGTCATCTGTGCACGTCATGAATCACTTAAAATTACGCCTAGCTACGGTCTCTGAAAAAATACGATCAAAATTTAAAAAAAAAGATATTATGAGGCTAGGTGTCTCCAAAGAAAGGGGGTTGAACACACCGTTGCTGATATCCGGCCCCCCCCCCCTACAAATTTGTGTTGAAAGAAATAAGAAAAATTAAATATTACAAAGCACATTTAAATTTCGAAGTTTTTTTTCGGGACATTCAACAGTTTAAACCTTGTAATAAGATGGAACAAATTCTTTCTAAAGAATGAAGGTTCAAGCAAAAATGTCGGGTTAACCACAAAGAATCCGACCCCCCTTCTTTAAATACTTCAATTTATCAAACATAAAGTATTTTACAAAACAAGGGGTTGAGGGGCCATTAGACAGAAAGGGAGGTG